GTTGTTGAAGATTCAAAAAGAGATCTGTGCTCCCTGAAGAAGATTGAAATTATTGTTACATTCTCTCTTATTTTAGCACATTTTCAAATCCTCGAGGGTAGCTAGTCATCCTAAAACTTGATGGTAATCATAACATTCTCTCTTGTAGTAAGTGTAAAATGCAAAGGAACGGGCTAACTTATGGTAACTGATGAAGGCAGATTTGACCCTCCACTAACATCATGATACATGGCATCTCGGAACAGCTGGGTGACACCCCGGAACCAGCTAGGCAATAACTTGCCTTAGCCAAAATGATGGAGTCCTATCTAGCGACCTACCTCCGCCGACCTATCGACTTGGTGACCTGCCTCCGCTGACATAGTTGAAACCTAACTGGCGACCTCGTCCACAACTCAGGGCGGCTAGCAGCACCTCTTCCAGGGCCGACCTATGGTACCTCGTTAGTACCAGCCGAAGTGACCTCGACATGAGGAGCGACCTCCCTCGAGGGATTGCCGACCTGATTGAGATTCAAGTGGCAACTTGCGAGAGGTGCTCACCAACGAATTCTGCATGCATCCCGTCACTCCCGGGTCTCTCGGAAGTTGGCTTCCGCATTAGGTGTTCTGGAGGAAACTGAATAAGGTGCAAAGACTGATCTATGTTTACGACTACCTCCAAGGACTTCAAACCAGTTAGGCACATCTTCCCAGAGATCTCAGACGCGATGCATGAAGCCTACGCCAAACAATGCCTATATAAGGGCCCTACCTCCAACCTCACAAGATACATGCACAATTTAGCTCTTGCAGCTCACTTATCTCTTTCGCTTTTAACTCTCTCAAAAATCTCTGATTCACTGACTTAAGCATCGGAGTGCCCACCCGGGTAAAGAAACCCGGGCACTCTAACACTGTTTCCTTGCAAGTCGCCCCAGTAAACTATACAACTCGTCATTGTTCAGTTAGGCACCAGAGCCACCTTCCGGGTAAGAACTCTTCAGTCAGGCATCCGAGCCACCTTCTACGTAGGAACTCTTCAGCTAGGCATCTGAGCCGCCTTCCAACTAGGAACTATTTAGCCAGGCATCCGAGCCACCTTCCAGCTAGGAACTGTCTAGCGCGGCGTCTGAGCTGCCATCTAGTAGGGAGCTACCCAAATGTGCATCATCATTTGGTTCCGTCTGTGGGAAACTCTACACAAAAGCTAAGTTCTCACCCGTTTTTTGAGCCTCAAATAATGGCATCCTCAAACAACAATAACAACGTTTGGATCAAAGGAACCCCTAAGGGGGCAAAATCAAAATGATTAGCCCAAACAAGTTCTCGCAGTCTTGCTTGGACAGAATCTCCAACTATGAAGCCACCCCCATAGGTCAAGCCCTACATGCTCTCTGCGAGAGTTGACGGCCAACATAATGTGAGGCCACCATCGCAGGTTGAGCCCTCCGTAGTTCCCGTGGAAGTTGATAGCCAATAATAGGTCGAACCCTACATGCTCTCTGCAAGAGTTGACGGCCAACAGAATGTGAGGCCACCCCCGTAGGTTGAGCCCTTTGTGGTTCCCGTGGGAGTTGATAGCCAACAAACTGTGAGGCTGCCCCGCAAGTCGAGCCCTCCATGCTCTATGTGGGAGTTGACGGCTAGCAGGTTGTGGAACTGCCCTCACAGGTCAGCCCTGCCAAGGTGATGAAGTGTTTATAGGTCGAGGTACTAAGAGCAAACCGGATTGTCAAAATGTTGACAACCTAACGAACTCGCTTTGGCGACCAGCCTCCACCGCCGACCTGGTGATACACGTACTCAGCCCGGACGAGCCTCGTCAGCCTTGTTCGCGAGGTCTCCCCTACAGGTCTAGCCCTTCGCGGTTCCTGTGGGAGTCGACAGCTGACAGATTGCAATCGCCCTTGCGGGTCAAGCCTTTCAAGGTTCCCGTGCGTCCGAGCTGCCCAAATGCGCATCATCAATAACCATAACAATATTCACATATTACAGCATATTACAGCCCAATAGTAATTTCAGACTTTCTGAGAAAAGGTGAGCTAACCAGCGAAAATCTTGTTCTATGTATTTCAATTGGATGATCCCCTTGCAGTCACCGTCAACCCAAACTCAATTAAATCTTTGTTCGAACCATATGGGATTGGCTACAAGAATCTAATTCTACTTCCACCATTCTACTCTTCAGTGTCATATCTATTTTTTAAATTATAAATACTCAAATCAATCAATTTTCATTACTTCAAGCCAGTCCTTTCCGACGTGCCTCTAGTTTTTTTATTTTTGATTTTTTTTTTTTTTGGTAACTCGACCTACCTCTAATTCTTATAAATCCTTTATATGCACGTCTTCAACTCTTAAGCCCAGGGGGTAACAGGAAGGGGTACCTAGTACAACTTGTGGGTTTGGGATTCGTTAATTTTTCAATGGGCCCAATCAGGCAGCCCGATTAACAGCCCTGACAGGTCGGACTCTACCCTACTAGAGTTGTCCAGTGACCTCAGAAAAGATGAATACTAGCTCCGCCCTGCCCAAGTGGTAGCGTTTTCTTTTCCATTATCTATTTCACACCTACAAAGGCCTAAAATGACTAGACACAATTAAGCCAGAACCTTTCACTAAAAAGGATTAACAGGATAAATCAAACCACGGATTTTACTTAAGCGCATGTATATATTATTTAAAAGTTAAAACGGCCGTCTACCATAAATCAACTTGCACGCAGCCTAAAAATTACCCTGGGAGGAAAAGTAAGACACTGATCATTTCATAAATTCATGATCAAAAACCAAGCCTTGTAATGGGGTTCAGGATTTATGGAATTAGAAAATAACTTTAAATCAAAAACTGTAACACGATAGATTGTGCTCCTCTAACCTGTATGTAGCTTCCTATTTACCAAAAAAGAAAAATGAATTATCAAGTATCTGATTGCTTTCTTGTAAAAAAAAGTACTCGGAAACTACAGTTCTGATCATGTTGTCTCTAACAACTAACAAGGATTTCATTTGTAGAGCTACACCCAGTAAGATGTTCATGATATTCTTGTTTTTAGTTCACTTTAAAAACATCGTTGAATAGATCCAGCTGGTCAAAATTTGTTAGTTCTATACTAAAACTTCTAGCCTTATTAAGCCTTGCAAGTGATTGCATTACACAGTTCTTACAAAAGCGGATTTTCCCCACTTTCATCCGTTGTTTCCTGTTACTCAAAGAATCTTAATTTGCTAAGATGGCCCAATTACTTCCCTTATCAATCATCAATTGAATAGGAAGAACAACGGTTACCAACTTGGGCACCTGTCCTACTTGACATCAGTGTATTCAGGACAAACCCCCAATGAGATGATTATTATCGTGGAAGTTTTTTATGGAACATCAGACAAAATACAAAAAGCAAACTCCAGAAAATCCATATCTTTAACCAGGTAGTTTGCCCTAGTACCAAATATGAAACACTGTAAAGAAAATTTATCAATGCTTGCACTTTCCTCTCTCCACGCACCTAAAGAAGCAACGCAAGACACTAGTAATGCTAATCCAACATGTGATAACATGCATCTAAATTGAGTGCCCCTTCTACTCCCAGAGACTCCTCTTTTCTAATTGTTCACTCACTCCAGTTCACATCCAACAAAGCCAGCTTGAATCACTGTTCCATTATGTTTTCTTGTCCCATCCAATGGATGAATCACAACCTCAAACTGTTAGAACAGGGAGGCATCGAATACGGAGCAAACACTGTAGAGAGTAGTTTGGTGACTTTGGTCTATAAAGATCCCACAAAGAGAATGGTTACTCATATTTTTGAAAGGGCTTCTAGGAATAAAAGCTAATCTTGTAAGTTCAAATACCAAGGTAGCACAGAAAGGCTAAATCAGTAGATCATGTCTTCATTTGTAGTTCTTTGCTAAAGCATGACAATTTAGCCCAGTTCTTGGAATGCATGTTACAGCTTGAACTTAATACTCATTTCAGGTTTTCTTGGAGTCTTAAAGACTTAAAAAGAACCCACATACCTAATTCGGAAAGGAAAGGTGTATCAACCTTTTTTGCTATTGTTATGTGTGATATTTGAAAGCTCAGAAATGATCTATTGTTTCGAGAAATACAGCCAAATCCACCCTAAATCATTCAAAATAACTCGCTCTGTATGGACCAGATGCTGCAATTGAAAACTAATAGGCCTTTCAACAATACCAGATGTTGCAATTGAAAGGAATTGGTCTGCTGCTTGAAAATGTGTTAGACCAGAAAACTGATTTGCTATGTCAGGAACCCATACAGCACTGGAATGAAATTAATTACGATGGGAAAATATGGATTCATATAGTTCTTTCATAAGAACTCACACTGATCTCTTTTATGGCAGAAAAATGTGTCATCAAAGCATGTCATTGAAACTTAGAAAATCGAGTTAAAAGCCCTGTTGGAGGGTCTTCAATTAGGGGAAGCACTTAGATACCACCCACCAAATTGATTTTCAGAATCAGACTCCTACATAGCAGTTGTACATTAAAGAAACAGGAACCTAGTAGATTGGAGCTTGCAGTATATTGTTGATAATTTTTGTGACGTTCAAGAATAGTTTCCCGGAACTCGGAAGCTTCTTCTAACTATGCAAATAGATTTGTTAAAAATGTCGCCCATGACACTAGTTCAGCTACAAACAAGATAGATATACAACAGCTATGAAATGAAACCCAACCAGAGGTAAGCGCATCAACAGTTTACAGTTACCAGATGTAGCAACAACCTAAGTGTTTACTCTTTTACAAGATGCAATGACGAACACCTATTTTGGTCAAGGAAGGATTTGACTAGGGGTGTGGTAGTTATCTTCTACAGTCTACAAAAACAGGAACAACCACAATGCAGAAACAATGAAGCACTGAACATGGAAAAGCATGCGACTTGACAGATCCCAACAAAGATAAAACCAAAATGTGCTCTTTCATTGTAAATACAGTTCCTGATTCAGTGCTTATAGCATGGTTGATTAGTTGAAGGGTATTAGGGTAGAGAATCTAAATCTTCAAAAAGTACACTGACACTATGTCCTTCCTGAAGAAAGCAAATGAGCAACACAACCCCAAGGACCAATAAAAGGAAACGATGATACAGATGAACACAAAGTCAAAGACGCCAACTATCTAGACAGGAAATATTCTCCAGCAATTTATCTAAGGCCTATCTAGAATAATCTCATACCACAATATGGACTATAATTATATATGAACATAAATAATAAACATGGAATATTTACAATGGCGATGATATAAGCTAACAATGCATCGACAGTACAAAGTTACATGAATGTACACACCGTCTAACAGCCACCCTTCAACCTCATAGGATAGGGAAAACATCATCATTGTCGTCATCCATGTCCAGGTACTTGAAGCTAACATCTCCGTTCGGATCCCTGTAACTGAAACTCGGGTTCACGTAGCACTTCATCTCATGAAAGAGATTCAGATTATCGACCAGCTTATGGAACACGTTGCATCCACAACACTACATAGAAGAAATGGGAAAGATGCCATATTAGGAATCCTTATAACGATGACATGTGCACAAATGGAAGAAAAGTCAGAAAATCGAATAATTTACCTGCACGAAGACGGTACCGTCGGTGTAGGCGTGAGGATTTATGGCACGAGTAGTTCGCTGGCCACAGACGTTACAGGTGAAGGCCACGCGCATTCTCCGACGAGGCGATTTAGTGAAAAGAGACCATGGGAAGGTCGAGATCTTCTCGGTGCTGGACTCAGATTCCGCGCCAGCAGGAACGGAGGGACCTTCCATCCCAGAACCCGTAGTCCATCCTCGGCCCGCTGCCGCACTCAGAACCAAACCCATCGCAGCATCCTAATATATCAAAGAATTCCAATAAAATAAAACAAAAAAAAAACATAAATTTAAAAGCAGAATAGAAAAAAAAAAAAGAAAAAAGAAAACTAATAGAACGAAACCGAGTAAAAGAAAAGGAAACACAAGAAGAAAGAGACCTTAGAAAGGGGGGAAAGGGGCATGCGATTGTTCAAGAGGGGAACGATGTTCATTTCGTTCGAATTCGTTTGTTCGGCGTCGCCGTCCTTATCTGATCCGAAATCTAAGACTGTTAAAAAATTTTAAAATTTTGAGAAAATGATGCAAAAGGGAAAAAGGAAATGATCGTACTCTTGGAGGCGATGGGGAACCGAAGAGGCTTGGTCAAGAATTTCTTTTTTGGAGAGAAAATCGAGAGAGGCGAAGATGAAGACATGATCGTCGCAGAAGACCCTAAGGTTTCCATAGCGATGAAGGAAAATAAGTTTCTGTTCTTTTCCTCCTTCCCCGATGTTCAACCGTCGTTGCAGAGAGCTCCGGCGACGTGCAATGTAGCGCGGGATGCCTTTCACTTGTTTACAGGTGTCTCTTTATTCAACAAGTGGTTATGCTTGGTGAAGTTTGGTCGCACCACGACTCTCTCCCCCATTCCTCAAGTTGGTGATCGTGAGTTAAATATCTAGCAATATCCACCGCCTAGGAAAATGAGAGGAGATCACACGGTCGCTGCAATTTCTTGTTATCCAATAAAACACGGATACGTCATCGTTTAAATCGAGGAAGCATATCAGTCGGTTGTTATTAAGGGTAGATGTGCAACAAGAGCGGACTGGGCCTCGATTAAAATTTTATGATCAACCTAGGTCCAAGTAACAGCCTGGAAATCAAGCCCGATCAGTTCGAACTAAAATTTAAGACACATGAGTTGGGCTCGGGCCTGCTCCACGCTTGAGCTGATTCGTTAGATTCAAGTGGACTCAATGCATTAAAATTTTAACGTCAGTAAAAAAATGGGATAAAAGATATAAGGGCAACTTTTAGGCCTATCAGTAAAAGTAATATTTTTAAAAAAATTTCAAAAATATAGAAACTTTTGAAAAATACTATCAATAAAGGGTAGAATTTGTTCATCTTTTTCCTCTTGCAGTCTATTCACCAGCGCCGCCACTCGCCGTCGCCTCTGGCAACACCTTCACCTATCTCTGCCCACCTCCGCCTCCGCTTCCAGCAACATTGCCGGAGGTGGGCGAAGGCGGCGGCGACAACGGTGCTGGTGGTTATTTCTCAACCCAACGCCGCCACCTCCACTCACTAGCGCCGCCACCGACTCTGTCTCCACCCACCTCCGATGACATTGCCAAAGGCGTAGGCGGAGGTGGGCGGAGGTGGCGGCGTTGGGCAAAGAAATAACCACCAGCGCTGCCGCCACCGCCTCTGCCTCCGCCCACCTCCGAAAATGTTGCTGGAAGCGGAGGCAGAGGTGGGCGGAGGCGTTGCCGGACGCGGCGGCGGACAACGGTGAGTGGTGGCACTGGTGAATAGATTACAAGAGGAAGAAGATGAACAGTGATTTTGTCCTTTATTGATATTATTTTTCAAAAGTTATCCTATTTTTGAAACTTTTTTAAAAATATTACTTTTACTGATATTAAGGCCCAAAAGTTGTACTTTGACACATATCATGTATACGTCACATATATGTGAACATCTGTCACACCTTGATTGGTTAGTGTAGTCGGAGAAAGATTTGTCAATTAATGTTGGGCCAGGCTAAGTCAGGTTGAAGTCAATCCTAACCCAATCCAAAGTTCTTGGGTTGGATTGAGATCGAGTTGGGGTTGGGTGCCAGTTGAGCTGGATTAGGTCAGGTTGAGATCAACCCTAACCTAATCCAAAGTTTTTGGGTTGGATTGAGATCGAGTTGGGTTTGGTTGCAAATTGGGCCTGGATAGGTCAAGTTGAGGTCAACCCCACATTTTCCCCCTTTCCCCACTCTCCATCCCAATGGTTGCCCCCTTTAATGGTCATCCATAACTCCCCTTCCCCCAATCCAATTGGGCTATGTTTGGTTTAAAGAAAAAGGTAAAGAAAGGAAAGGAAAGACAGGGAAACCTATACAAGGTTTGTAAAGGTTTTCTCACATTTCTCTTCCTTTCCCTACCTTTTCCTTCAAAACTAACATAGCCTTAGGTTTTGGCTTCCCTCATAAAAAAAATTTAGCTCCACCCCTGCTCCCATTAATAATATGGGTTTTTATAGTTCAGCCCACTCCAAGAATAGAGCTAGGATTTCTAGAGATAGACTGAATCCTGCCCATGGATTGATGCCAAATACACAGACATGATGCATTTATAGGGGAACTACTAATAAACTAGGAATAAACTGCAATTCAGATTTCCGAGGGGAACTGCAGTCCAAAAATCCCTTAATAATACAGGAGGTGTTCTCGATGTACAGCTGAAGCATACTATAAGGTCGGTGTGAGGAGTGCTCTGGGAAGAGCAGATCCGGATTCGACTATCATATATGAGATGTGCGGGTTGGTAGAATATTGGAACTTGTTTTGTTTGCAAGTGGTATGGATTCATTAAAAACTGAGTTGCCTATCCTTCCATTTGGACGTGGCAGATTTCCCATGAACAAATCCTACTCCAACCCAGCGTGGACTGTTAGACAGCACGACTGTGGATAAGCTGGCATTTCTTTCCATCTTCAAAGCAGCACACAAATCATAGACCTTGAGCACGAAAAGGGGTAAATGTGTCAATTTTTCAATTTGCAATGATACCTCTGCAATACATGAAGATCATCAATATCACAGCTAACAGATTTCTCAAAGGGGCCTAAGTTTGCATTCCAAAATCTACATGTTACTGGCATAAGAATACCTTTCTAAGACACTACACCCAGCATAAGCATATCAGCTTACAAAGCTCTAGGGCAAAACATGAGTTCTAGTCATACTATTGATGATAATCCAGCATGGATATTTTTTTATTGTTTAGATCATGTTTTTTAAAACCGGATTGGACCAGACAGTCAGACAAGAAAAACTAGGAACCATTCACCTAACCAATTCTGTTTTTTCTCAAAACCGTTGATTTTGGTCAGCAAACCGTTGAATCGGTCGGTTAACCATTCGAACGGTTTTGATCGTTTTTCAATTTTTTTAATTTTTTTTTAAAAAAAAAATTGTTAGAACAGGCCGACCGTTCAGGTCGGATGGTCCAACCGTTCAGGTTGAACGATAACTGGACCCCTAATCGGTTCGGTCACCGAGTCGGTTTTAAAAACCATGGTTTACATTTTTATCTAAAGCTGCCCCTCTTTTTTCCAAGATATTCTTAAATTTACCCTAATATTCTTTCTATTAAGGCCTTATTCACTTTTTGGGAAGTTACTTACCCTAGTAAATGTTTCTTGGGAAATACTTGCCCGAATAAATGTATTTACTCTGTTTGGTTTGTAGGATGGGAAGGGAAAATATGGAATATTCCTTCCTTCCCATGTTTGGTCTATGGGATGAGAAAAAGGTGGGATTATACATCCCAATTCTTGGGATGTGGAATCCCACCATTTTGGTGGGAAACATGTGGGAATGAAGGGGAAACTTGTTCCTTGTAGTATTTCTATGAATTAATACTAGATCCGTGACCCCAAAATACGTTATTAATTATTTAATATGATATTAATAAAAGAAAATAATAAATAACTTAAATAAATGATTAATAAAAATATTAATCAATAAATAATTTAATAATTAATTATTTTTAAGAATAAAATATTAAAATTATTAATAAAGTCATAAGTATTAATAAATAAAATTTTAATAATTAATATCATAAAAATTATTAATGAATTAATAATATTTAATAATTATTTAATTTACTAACTAATTAATAATTAAATAATTATTTTGTAATTCATAATTTAATTAAAATAAATTAAAAGAAATAACTTATCAATGAAAAATAATTCAATAATTTATGAATAATTAATATTAAAATTATTAATTAAATCATGAATATTAATAATAACTTATAAACTAATAAAATGTATAATATTAATTCATTAAAACAATTAATTAACTAATTATGGATTTTAAATAATTTATATATAAATAATAATAAAATGTATTATTAACTAATTAATAATTAACAAAAATAGTTAATTATTAATTAACTAAGTAATTAATGAATAAATAAATAAGGATTTTATTATTAATTTAACTAAGGATTCAATAAAAATAATTAAATAATAAATATGTAACTAGGGTTGATTTTCCCACTATTTTCCCTTTTGCAACCAAACAATGGTACATGAAAACTTTCCACCCATTTTCCCTTTCCCATCCCACCAAAATCTTCCCACAAACCAAACACAATTTCATGTTCCTTATTTCCTAGGTAAATAAGACAATGACCATTTTGGCCATTAAAAGTCATTATTAAAAGGGGTAATTTTGTCCCATCCAAGTATTGACAACTTTTCCCAAGGTGGGAAAATTACTTACCCACATGGGAGATGAGTATCACTTACCCGGGTAAGTGATACCCAGGAAAATTAATTTTCCATCAACCCCACATAAATCTCAAAAAAGAACATAGGCATCTTGGTCAATAGGAATCAAAATCCCACTGACCAACTTCCCCCATCTCAAAATCCAAAAAAAAAAACAATGAACAGGCCCTAAAAGAAAGACATTGTCTACAAAATCATCACAGGACCCCCTCTGTTCATCTCTATCCTTTTAAATCAAAATACCCTTGATTATTCACTTGATGGTTGATCTAGAGGTGAACTAAAACCTATTTAGTCTGAGAAATGAATGAGAAGGTGAAGTAAAACATTGATGTTTCGTAAAATGAATCAACACAAAATAGAGGAAAAAATGAACTAAGAGTAGAGTAAACCTATGATGTCAAAAGGTATGATATTAGAAGAGCTTTGAATTTTGATGAATACAACTTGATTGATTAACACTTCTATGATACAGGTTGATTGGTTATAAAGTTTTCTAGTATCATGTCTTTGTAGAGTATCATAGTGAAGCCTCAAAAAAAATTAATTAAAATCATTGATTGGTAGGTCAGGTTTAATTTTGTGAGCCACTTCTGTCATGGTCACCATTGGCCACCTAATGGAAAGATGAACTATTATGGACATAGCAAAATCTTTAAGAGCAATAGGTATATTGAAATCTAATGGGTGATGGAATTCACAAGCTCTCAACTACTTCTTCCCTCCCAACATAGTGATGAGATAGTGAAGATACATTCTTTCACCCAGTTACAGAAGAGACCACATCTCTGCCCCATAACATCCCGCCATACAATGCCCCACAGCACATCCTCGCCATGTATTGGAAACATCTCCCATGATGTACTAGAACCGATGATGCTCTCAATACACAGCGGGGATGTGCTGTAAGGCGTTGTGGGGAGGAGATGTGAACTCGTTACAGAAAGATGAACTGTCGTGGAGACATCATATTGTCTCAAATCTCAAGTACAATGTCAAATCTGCTTATAAATTTCTATTGACAATGTGGGCTTCCGGGTTAAGGGACAATCTAAACAAACGAGGGAATGGAAGAGAGAGGGATCTATCACCCCCACCAAAGATCAGTCGACACTTACTTTTAGCATCATTCCAAATAAGTATGTAAT